TGGAGTAATGATCAAACTTATGCAAATTAAGGAAAATTACGTGGTCAACGGCAACCACTGTAAAACTGTTTGGCAAAAAACATAACAGCCGTATTATCTACCTCTTCCATCTACCTCTAAACATCTAAAAATTTATCCTTTTGGGGGAATTTTCCCATTATTACTTCATTGTCTTTTTATATCTCCAGAGTCCAAAATTGAGAATATCGGCCCCCATGTCACCAAACCACTGGAGTACGCTTTAAAAAATCCCCTGGTCTACGACGCACCGTCTTCCTCCCTCGATGGAGTCACCAGTGGAAATCGGACACGTTTCCTCTTCAACCTCACAGCCTCTGCACACGACCTCAGCGCCTACGGACGTCCAATAGAATCCCACCTCAAGATACAAGGTCTTCGGACCAAGGAGTTTGGAACATACGCCTGCAGAATGCGAAACATTCGCGGTGTTGCTGAGGGCTACATTCGCCTGAAGAGAAGGGGTATAACAGAACTCATACCTCCAGGTAGGTTTCACTAGCGCAACAACCAATTACAGGGAAAATTATTCTGGTGATTAAGGAAATGTGCCGCTTTTAAATACGCTCGCAAGCATATAGGTCACGGTCAGTTCCGAAATGTCACATGTTGTTTGTAAACGCATATTAACAGGTACTCGCTTCCTTTTAACTAGGATGTTCTGTAGCTATATATAAGTTCATTGAATCGCAGTTCACTGTTGTCTATCCCATGCTGGAAACAGAAGGTGACGGATATTTTTCTCCTTCTACAACGTTGAAGCTTCCGGAGACTTGTGCAACTTTTTCGAATGGCTAACAGTCCCACAACAAAAATAACCATTGCTTCGAATAACTCTGTTGCTTGTAAAAGAAAAATGAGATTAGGCTCTCACAAGCTCATCCACTTGAACTCAAAGCTAAAAGGGAATCACACTTGTGGTCAAACTGTTTTATAATTTCTCTGTTTCATGCATAACCACGAATATGCAAAGTACTAAAAAAAAACCGGAAGGTCCTTGTGTACCTTAAGACCTCTATAAAGTCAACTTTTTTCAACTGCAAACAAACGCACATTCACAATCACAAAATTCAAAAGAGTAACTTTCATCCAAAATGCAATTGCTATATCGCCCTGCTTGAGCATTAGCCTACGACTATCTATATCAATGCATCCTTGGAAACACTCAGTCCCTCATCTCAATTCGATCGAAATGAAATTGTCCGGGAAACCTTTTTTTCTAATGCGTGTTTGGTGTTATTAACTGGTAGGATTTCGACCGTGCAATGATCAGCTATCATATACGGGCTGATTATGTAAGCATGCATATTTTGAACTTTGATTAAATGATATTAACACTGTTTCGCCTATTTAGGTGCTGCTGAGTGGGTTTTATTTAAAATAATATCAAGGAACTTTGACTGTTGTTCCTAACATTGTGTTCCTATGGTAGTCACATACACAGTTCCAACTTATTTGGACAGGTTTTATGTGAGGATCGTACATATTCGGAGTAAGAGGACTCAAAATGCACTTCTATCTACACTACAATATCAGAGCTTTGGTCGATTTTCTTAAGACTGGGTAGTGTGGATGTCGTAGTACTTTGCCAGACGTTTTTGCTGCGAATAAGTACGTCGCATGTGATCATTAAAACTGGAGTAAAGATGATAAATGGAGCTTTTTTGTGATGCGATGGGCCCACATATGACTTTAAATGTCTTTCT